AGTACGTCCAGAAGTGATCCCAGAGTACTTACCGTATGATAAAGTGCCCCCAAGCATTCAGATTCTAATCGTCGGCATCAGACGTTAGGTTGAAAGATACCAATAGTCTCTACGACAAATACTAAGGTTATTTCAGCCCGAAATTTTCAGGGGCCTACTCGATGGAATAAGTTAGACACGTGCGACTTTTTTAGACTTGTGGCGTGTCGCGTGAATTTCACGCGACAATTTCAAATTGAATCGACCTTCATTCACATACGACCAACGTCAATCACGAACCTGTAAGGAGTGTGTAGATCACATGCTTCACGCACTATAGCACGTTGTTGATGTCCGGTGCCTCATGTCGTTCCCTTGTGTCAACACGACCCGACATTAGCTGGAGAGATGCGACCCAAACGTGCCCTGAGATTTTGAGCCAAATAGCTATGGACTCAAGACTTTTGAGTAGCTCTTGAGTCAAGAGCTAGTAACGCTCAATGCTTAGGATCAATAGTACGAATGTATCCTGTGCTCACACTCTTGTACGCAAGCGTACAAGGGTACGCAAGCTCTCCTTGTGCTTGCCAAGCACAATATGCGCCACCATTTTCCCACTCTGGCCGCTTTTTTCTCCTGCGCGCCACGTTTCTCTCCTGCGCGCCACTTTTTTCTCCTGCGCGCCACTTTTTCCTCCTGCGCGCCACTTCTTTTTCCTGTTCGTCTCTTCGCCTGTCTGTCCCCTATTAGCCCCTCACAGAGAAAGTGGCTGCGGGACTCTAGGGGAATCATCCGACATCCTCATGTGCACCTAGTTTACGTACTCCTTGAATTTCTATTGATTAGTGCGTTACGATTCACTGCTGCTGCAGGACGATCCTGGCATGGAGGAGGGTAGAGGGCACTTGGAGCATCCATAGCGAGATACTGCAAGTCAAATAAGCGAATCGTCGAAGAAAACAAAACTGTTATTAAACTCACTACTACGTATATAACACGTCGTTGATCCATGCATTATAGTTTGTTGTCGGAATACATTACTTCAAGCCCCGCAGGTGCATTGATTCATAAGCGACCCGTTCTTTCCGGCGGAGATTATAACGTGTGGTACGCCTTCCACCTTGATTTTCGGGTAGGACATTAGGCGCAGCTTCAGGTTTCGGAGCCGATGAGCAATTGCAAATATTCTGAAAAAAGTTATGAGCAAACGCGAACTTTGCGTTTGGGTAATAACGTAATAACCGCGTACATGTTCTGGTTACCCTATGGGGCCCATCCGGCTGAGAAAAGTTGCGACGGGCTAGGAAACCTTTCCTGAGACATTCTATAAGACCGTGCGTACCGGTAGAAAGTCTTTACTGGGAAGACGTGGCTCTCTTGGAAGCTCACTCCAATCGCCGGTGGGATATCAGCGCCACATACAGTATGTGACGTACTCATTCATCCGGTTGATGTGTGTCCCACGGTTCTCCATACAAGATAGACTTGTATGGAGAAGGCCTTGCCACCGGCTCGATTGGAGATACATCTGGGGTCATGTTTGGTGTTCCGCTTCCTCGATCATACTTCGATACTCTTCTCGAAGGGGGCCTAAAATAGGGAGGCATGCTTAGCCTATCATGCTCTTCTTCTGCTTGTAGTTCCAGGTTGGAATTAAATCCAACCTGTTAGTTAGGGTTGTAATTTTCAAGCGTTAGTTACAGACAGCTGAATTCCATGGCATGCGAGAAGCCCATGCAAATTGATTTAATCCAATTGAAGAGAAAGCCACGATGGTATTGATTACCTGACTCCGATCCACTCGAAGCTGCGTCATCCTCGGTGATATCGAACAGTATCGTAGAGTCGCTCAAGTCCGCAAAAAATGCATCAGTTGGAAGTTGCATTGCTCTATCTGGTGAGACCGGAATACTTCCTCGCGCTGGAGAATAGAACTCTCCGAGTAGTTTAGCGCGACGCTTCGAGGCTCGTTCGTTTATATCCAAGGCCTTCGGTTGTACGTAACTAGATATATAGTTGCATCATGCAACTTGCATGTACTTAAGAGTTCGAATCGGACTCACAGGTGGAGAGTTCGTCCTACTTCGAACTTCGAAGCGCCTTCACAACTTTCAGGGATCCAGAACTGGTGTGTATGGATCCGCTTTTTCATCATACTGGGCTCTATTGAACGGCAATTTAGTTGTTTGAGTCCATCGGGCAGCTGCATTTGAGAACTTTTTCTTCTCTAATGACTATCCGAATATACTTGCTTGCTTGCACGTAAGTATTAAAGGTTGACCAGGAACCAGAATCAAAGTGTAGTGCTCCCGGCCTGTGTAGACCGTTTACTAGAATCAGCAGGATTATCACCACCCTTAGAACTCGACGGATACTGTGACATAGAAGAAGGTAATTAAAATTGAGCTTGTAACTAGTTCATACATTACAATAAAACTTTTGCAATAACGACTAGCTTTACACTGAGGGACAATACACAAGGGCGCTAAAGTATCATTGACTTGCACAAGCCACAGAGACATACGAACACAATCATGTATCCTAGGAAATGAGAGAGGCGGTTTACTACAAAGCTCCGCACAGGGCCGCAACTAGGTCGATTCTGCTGAACTGGGCCCTGAAATTCTACTAGCCTTGAGGGCCCCATAAGTTATGGGCCATAACACAATGATTCTTTCGGAATCAACAGAGACTTTAATTTCCACATATCTATATTCATGCAAACTACGCATCATCATCATCATCATCATCATCATCATCATCATCTTCATCATTTTCATCTTTGTTGTGATCAAGAAGCGCGGTGAATATGAGTACCTTACGCGCCTTGCGCGACGCAAAATTCTCAATCAAATCATCATAACTCACACTCTTGGCTACTTCATGCTCGATGGCAATTGAGAGGCCATTGAGCCTATCCTGCCCAACCGTCGCTCTAAATTGGTTTTTAACCGAATTGAGGCGACTGAAAGCCCTCTCGCCAGAAGCTACTCCCACCTGTATGGTCAGAAACAAGCGGAGAAGCAAGCTTATCTGCGAGAGTGCCCCGCAGAGACCGCTAGCCTTGAGGTGATTGAGAAGCGCAAGCGGGCAAGGGATACCTCCCACGCTCACTTCGTCAAAGCCTTTGACGAAGTGATTATAGATCAGTAGTTCTCCTTTGACTCAAAGGAGATACATTCATGAGCGACCAGAAGCTCAGTACCAAGCTCGGCAGTATTGATCCCATCCGTTGCATATGTTTCCGAGAGGCGGTACGCGCAATCACGTAATTCCTGTTCTTCAAGATCCCAGAATCTCCGCAGTACACTAAACCGACTCTCTATCTCTTTAATGGCGAAGAATCTCGTCTGGAGACTCTCAGCGCAAGTGTCAAGAGCTTTCTCGAAAACCTCGTGTCGGAAAAACTCGAAACTGGTGGTGGTGTCAACTCCGTCGTCGTTCCTAAGTCTCCTGTGGTGCCAATAGTAAGATGTGTCTAAATCCACGTTCACATCAAGGTCGAGTGCGACTTCACGAGCAGCTTGGCACAGTTCATTCCATTAGCATTTCATTGCGAGTACTCTCTCATTGAGACCATCGAGAATCGAGACTTCACGAGACTCTCGTGACGAGAGAGAGTGCCAGACTTCTCCTGGAATTCGAGGCCAGCATTGTTGATGAAGGTCAATAGTCTGTACCAAAACTGTGTCATGAATACGCTTTCGAACGTA